ATGAGTTTATCAGTTGTTTAAAATGGAGGCAGTGCGAGCAGGTACCAATGAATTTTGTTGGATTAATGATTCAGATAAAATAATATTGCACAACACTGTGAAGATTACTAACAGCAGATTAAATATATTACTGCTGGCCCAGGATCACCAACCTAGTTGTAGAAAGATTACAACTAAAAAAGGAATTAAACCTCAAATATGAGTAAAGAAGAAAGCTGAAAATTGAAGAAATAATTTGCTTGAAATCTTTTCTATTTCTCGATTGATTACAAAAGTTGGATAACATACTAATATATACAACTTTATAGAAGGCTCTAGCATCCTAATTAATTACCTTAATTAATGACCTTGGAATTTTAAGAATAAAATAAAGTTTAATTCTACTCTAGAAAATTCTTGAAAAACCTACTGTAAAGAAAAACAAAAAATAACTTTAATATTTCACAAACACTTCCATGAAAAAAAGATCTAACTAGATAATAGATGATCCTGCATATACTAAAATCCGTTCTATATATATTGTGGTGGCGTTTCGAAAGTGATTATGAGCTTCTTTTAGCTTAGAATTATCTTTGAAGTGTTTGCAGTGTTTTTATTTCTTAAAATAAGTTGTTTTAAACTAAAATATAAAAAAAAAACTCATGGACCAACTGCCTTTTGTGTTTGCAAGACACTATAAAAAAATCTTTTGAGTGACAACACATATTTTTCACATAGTTAGGCAAAAGGTGTTGTCACTATACTTGTCACTAATGGGGTGTCGCTAATACTCTATAGTGACAATAAATAAGAATTAAGTGACAACAAAAAGAGCTATTAGTGACAATAAAAATGATGTTGTCACTTTATGTGTGCATTAAGTGACAACTTTTGCATTTGTCACAATTGGGGTGTCGCTAATGCAACTCTTTCTTGTAGTGAAAGCTTTTATCAAAAAAAAATTAATTTTTTTGGCTCATAATCTATTTTTAACAGTTTGCCTCCTAAATAAAATGAATATCACTAACACTACAGAAATACAGAAATGACCTAGTAATAAATCATGTCAAATTCACAATCCAAACCATTTGCCTTTGGTGATCGAACAGTTATTACAGCTCCAATATATCAGCATGATGGCATCATAAAATGAAACGTTATTCCTATTTTCGTACAAGACTTGTATTGGACCGTACATTTTCGATACGCAGGTCCACTTATCAATGAGAGGTTGACAATCGTGGCCCACATAATGACTTAATTAATGGAGTAAGAAAGTGTATTATATAATATTTAACTCGAGTTTTTCACATATAATCTGTTTCCTTTGTGGAAAAAGACAAAAAACACATCACATATAATTAACTTACGGTGGTAAACATTTTCGGGGTCGGTAATGACTTTAGGTAAGGGAAGCACAATATTTTTTAAAATAAATAGGGGACCCAAAATAATATTTTGTACGTTTTATATATACTAAATGATATTTAAAATATATAAATAGTTCAACAATTTAAATAACCATAACTATATTATTTTACATAGTTTAAGTATTTAATTTGTTGGAATCTTTTTACGCTTATTCTTGCGTTTGATGTGTATGAAATATCTTAGATCAATTATAATTAGTTATATATTGAGTTCTTGTATCAAACTTTTATCTATTTCAAGATTTAAAAAAAAATCCAGCATCTTCACATTTTATAATAATCTACATTGCCTATCTTTAATTTCAAAGAGTTTCCGCAAGTTGAAATATATTATTTTTACTTTATTATATTTAAATAACCGTTACATATATATTTACTTGTTCAATAATATTTCTATGATTATTTTCAAAAAACTTCAGGGCTTGCCCCCAATCCGGTAAACTTTTGATTTACCTTAATTCCGTCAATATTTTAGTCATATTTTCTCCAAAGTTCTTAACTGCTCTAATTAGAAATTTGGGTAAATTTCACTTTACCCCCTTGTACTCTGCCTGAGAGTCACTTTACCCCATCGTACTCTCAATTTTATCGATTTACCCCCTTGTACTTGTATAATTTCCCAATACAAGCCTTTTCCTTCAATTTTTGTCAATTTTGACTCTAACGCCATTTGGTCAACTCTGTAAATTACAAAATTGCCACTGCTTATAACGCGTCGTTTCTCCTCCTTCAATATTGTCATTTCTTCTTCTCCCACCACTTCTGACGCAGAACGGAAGCACGGTAAAAAATTAATTTCTACGAATTAATCTATAGAACAAACGAATTCCGGAATCCACCAGAAAGTTGAGAAAAGAACTCTCGATTTTATTGATAAGGAAAAAAAATTAACGTGCTAGAAAATAAACCTACTGGATCTATATATAATGCGTAAAGCAAGAAATCCTAATTAAACTAGAAAATAGAAAATTACGATAAAATAGAACTCAAAACATTCTAGGACTCTAACTATAGGAAATTGAAAATAACTGAATATTAAACCTGCTAGGACTCTAATCCTAAACCTGCTAGGACTCTAATCCTGATGGATTACTTGTCCCTTATCAACTTCCCCTTCCAAGATATCCCCAAATTGAACCCCTAACTTAGTAAAAATCAAGACTAAAAAATTGATCGATTCCACCCAGTGCAAAGAAAAAATATATGAATGTGTGAAACTTTATCTTTTCTAATCTCAAGAGTTAAAATCGAAAAAAATCAATATTTACGTCAATATTTTGACTCTTGACCAAATGGCGTCAGAGTCAAAATCGAAAAAAGTTGACGAAGAGGGTTGTATTGGGAAATTGTACAAGTACAAGGGGGTAAATCGACAAAATTAAGAGTACGAGGGGGTAAAGTGGTTCTTGGGCAGAGTACAAGGGTAAAGTGAAATTTACCCTAGAAATTTTATATCCAGTCGTGCTCATCAAAAAGAATTAATATGGCATTTTTTTACAAATTCATAAAATTCGATTAGAGCCCCATTTCTTTAGAAACAACCCTCAACAGTTCTAGTATGATTTGCGAGTTACTGCACGGAGGGTAGTTTACCTAAATACATTGTTAGATTCACTGCGAATTTCTAATTATTGATAAAATAAAGTTAGACGACAATCATAACCAACTTATTATTTATAATTAAAGATAAATACAGAATCCTTAATTTCTTCAAAACCATTTACTGCACGTCAACGCTTTGATTAGGCAAAACTTGTGGCTTTTTTGCCAGATTTTGTGTCAGTATCAACTCCTAATGCTACATCCAGCTGTATTTGTATGTGTGTGTGTGTGTTTTTTTCTTCTCAAAATCTGTTTTTTCAAGCTTGGGTGGAAAACAGTACCCCCTCCCACAAATTTTTAGCACTTCTCCCACTAATTTTGTTGGAGTGGGGTGAAAACATGTATGTACATAACTATAAAGTGAAAAAAGGCTTGGAATTTTTATCTGCTTAAGTTTGTGGAAAAAGCTGTAGCCCATGAATTAAAAGGGTGTTTGGTTAAGCTTATAAACTGCAAAAAAAGCTTATAAGCTCTTTGAAAATGTTTGCCAATTGATTTGAATGTTTATTTAAAAATTTAGAAATAAACTATTGGGAGATCAAACGCTTAAGATTTAACAACTTATCAACGCTTAAAATAGCTTATCAGATGTAGAACTTATTCAACTCTTTAAAATAAGTTTAGTCAACAGCCCTAGGCAAGATTCAAGTAAGGATAAGTCAGTCATCCACCT